CTCATCCATTATGCCTGAGTTAATCAACGCCAACACATATGCGGCCAGTATTATGATCGGCGAGAAGTGTTCAGATATGATCAAACAGGACAACAATTACGCTCACAATCATCTCAAGAAATAAATAGACAAACATTTGGTTTATTGATTAGATTGTTATTTAATTTAAATATAATTCTCTTAATTATTATTTGCATAAAACAAACGCCCGTTTCTTACAAACAAAAGTCAAGTATTAATACATTTATATGTATTTTTGAATAAAAAGTTTACGTTAACTTACGTTTGATCTAAATTCATAATTTGATTAAAAACAACACTTAATTTAAAATAATTTCCTATTTGTTTATTAAATAAAAATTTCATTAAAGATAGTGTTATAATTGTGTGTTATATATCTTAAGTTTTATAATTGCTTGATTAATTCAATTACAATTGTAATTACAATTGTAATGCATTTAAAAATAAAGTAAAAGGAGAAAATTAACTTTTAAATGTGTTTCAAAAATTAAGAAACACTTAAAATAAAAATACAATTAAATTGTAAAATATTTTAATGTTATTTAAATAAATGTAATCCATTAAAATTTCAATAAATGCCAATACAAACAATAATTTATAAATTAATAATTCAATGTTTGTCTAAACACTTTCAGTCAACTCATACTTTCTACTTAAAATGTGATCACTCTATCGTTTACATACAGAATAATTGGGTCTAACATGAAAAATGTACGGCTAAATCAATATTTTTTACACATGATCATTTAAACTATTTAAAAACTATTATTCTTATAGTTATGATTTAAATTATATTAATGTTTACATTATTATTTTATTTATAGCGATATCTAATCCGTGTTTTGATTTGATTATGATTTTAATTTAATTAATTTATAAATAAAGGTTTAAGTTTTAATAAAACAACTTTTATAACTGAAGGAGTTTTGTTGAAATCCATGTATTAAAAACTAATTAAAATAATTGTCAATTGTTTTATTATTCATTTAGTTTTCAATTTCATTTAACACTTAACTCTTCGCATGCATTAACTGATAGATAAGTTATTTATAAATATCGCGCTAAATTATTAATTTTTTAATATTTAAATTATTTTATAAAATTCAGTTATAATTTAAAAATCAATTACAAAACAATTAGTTAAACACAAAATTGAAATGTCTTGTAATCCAATGGAACCGTTAGATCAAATGACAAATCATAATACCATAAATGCGATCAATAATATTGCAAAACATGACGATAACAATGCGGAAACACCGAAACCAATGGCCAGAGTTAAGCCGATATTGAGTTTGTTTGTACGCCGAGTGCGGCGACAGAAGAGACAAAAGTCCGTCAAATGGAGACCCAATTCAGAGATCGAAAGCATCCGTTATTTTGATCTCAATGAGAGTCCAAACGTTTATTGCAATCAAAGAACGGGTAATTCAAAGGATAATCAATCGACAACTGAATGGAAACTCATTCCCATTGCTGTCGGCGGTAAGAGTGAAGAAAACCACCACAAAAGGGGCCGAAACTCTATGGAAAGTCTGCGGCGAGCCATCAGTTTGGCCGCCGCTAACGATCCGACCATTAGTTGTGGTCCAAGACTTTCACCGCAAGAGTTAGAAGTGATGTCCACTCGAAGTATGAAAACATATTCTCCTAACGTATCAAAGGCTTTGTGTTTTGATTGACTAAACCATGGATTCAAGCATTTATTAACATAATTATTGATTAAAATTATCATTTCTTTCATTAAATAAATACAATTTTTCAAATACATTAAAACAAATCTTTATTAGAATTTAGTTTAAAAACATTTTTTTATAATCGAAAGGAAAACAGTGTAAAATGAATTGATATTTGTGTCATTTTGGTGGTAATTGTTTAGCGTTGACGGCGTCCCTCTTTTTCTTAAGTTCTAAAACATAATAAATAGATTTTAATGGATTTAAATACCGTAACAATGATTATAAAATGTCTTACTATTCAATTGTTTGGACTCAGAAATGTGATATTCTCGGCATTTATACAAACGGACTAAAACCCTAAATAGATATATAATTATGTATTTTGTATTATTTAAACATTAAAGTGAATACAAACCAAAGCAATGTAATGAATACAAGACCGGTGTATATCGTGGCAAAAACCAGAGGCAATACATTGGATGGCATTTTCACAAACAAATCCCAAAACTATTTTCCAGTTAACACTTATTCCAACAATTATTTGTCCAACACTTTTAGTTCACATAATAATTCCTTTTTGTGTGTAAACATGCAGTAATCCAATATGCAAACTAGCTCGCTCAAACACAACAATCAATTGATTTTAATTTAGTTTTTAACGTTGCATCCAATGAAAAACTGCAAGTTGAAAGCGCGCGCACGGGTTTGATTGTTGAACAAACATGATCAAATAGCAATTACAGTATGTATGGCCTCCCCAACGGGTTTAACGTTAATTTATATTATGTTTGGTTCGGTAAAGACAAAGTGGGGGTTAGGGGCGGGAACACGATCGGGATCTGTAAACTAGTATTTAAACAATTAATATTAAAAATAACACACATTTATTCAACTTCACGTGATTTTAAGTTAATTTATAAATTATAAAACTTTTAATCATATTTATTATATAAATACTATCAAATCTATCAAAGAAATTAATTACTAATTTGATAAATAATTTATACAATCATTTTATAAATATCGAGAATCTCTTAAATAATAGTGTATTTGAGGAATAAAAACCTAAAAACCAAATCAAACAATCCTTTCGTTGATATAATCAATAAAACAATACATTTTTCAATTTGTAAATAAATAGACAAAACTTAGTTTTAATTGAATGAATTCATGTGATGGATGAGCGCCTCCTTATTGACGGCCAACTCCTGTTTCAACACAAGGTATTCAAGTAGTCGTGCGTTGCGTTCGTCCACCAAATCTCGGGGACCGGCAGTGATGTGCGGAAACGGAAACAAATGCATAATAAATGTCGACATTTCGGAGACACTGAGTGCGTCACGTGAGTCACTGGCGGCCAGTGGTGTCAGTCCGGCCCGAGCCATGTCTTTGCGTAACGCTTCCAAACGGCGGTTCGTTGAGTCAATACGATTGGCCAAAGTGTCCATTTGAAGCGTATAGTTGTCGACGAGTGGACAGTCATCGGCCGTTCCGATGGGTAAACTCATGATAACGTTGAACGTAAAACCGCCGTTCGTTTTGCGCTCCGTTGCCATCAACACAGCCATAGTCTGTATGAGAGCGGGAATGGGTTCCGGCGCCGCACCCGTCGCGTCCACGTCTTCATTAAACACTTCCCTCTTTACTCTAATTCAGATTTTCAAACATTTAGATTCATTTTCAAAATACATTTCCAGTTTAAATACTTGTCCGCAATTTGCGATACGCTGTCGACTCCCAGCGACACATCCAGTGATGAGTTATTTGAATCATAATTAATATCCAAATCCTTAAATTTGTCCTTTAGTTCATTAATAACTAGAGAAGAGGTGTTCTCAATATCACTGGAAGTGTTGGTCACATTCGATGTCCGTCTCGACCGGTCGGCAGATGAAGGCGCGGCCGAAGTAACCGAACGAATACTCTTAATATACTCTTTATACCACTCATGAATATTTCTAATTAAAATATATGTAATTAAATAAATGAAATATTTGACGCAACATATTATACGTTTTATAAGACCCAAAACCAAAGTAATAAAGGGGTTCCGAGTTTGCGGACACGTCGGCAATCGCATCACTTTTAGCGTCTATTACATCGACGGTCTCCTCATTCATATCCGAACAACTGATACCAAAATGTAGACAATAAGTCAAATAATATTGCATTTATTTAATTAATAATTACATAATAACTAAATCAGTAGTTGAGTTGCCATTAAGATCTTTGACCGATGATTCCGGTTGTGGTTGTGTTAACATAAATGTCGAGTCATTTGGGCTTATCTTCAGTTTCTCTTCATTACTAATGCCATAAGAAATGCAAATTACATGTAAATAAGTAATTGAACTAATATTACAATCATTATATAATATACACGACAGTTGGAGAGGCTTTAGGAGTCGATGTGGAGAGCGGTTCCAGTCCTTCTAAGCGGTCCTCATCTCCAGTCATGTCTTCAGCGGCCAGTGTTTCACTTTGTTTTGAATCAACAGAAAAATGACATTTATTTAAATTATAAATCAATTTGCAATTGCGTTCAGTTTCTGACGTTTGTCCCAACAATGTGTCTAATGAATGGCCGCTAACTATAGGCGACGTATTGGTTGAGCGGCTACTCTTTGATCGCCGTTTTGACCGCTTTTTAGACGATATGTTTAGAGTCGAGTAGTAATCGTTGTCCGAACTGAGGATTAAGTATTTTTAATGGATTATCAATTAGATTAAGTTTATTACAAACCTGTCCACCAAATGCCGAGTCCACGTCTCATTGTCCGCAACAGTCATATAATGGCTCTCCGATGATTCACAATCAAGCAAACTGTCGGCCGATTTAATGGCTTTACGTCTGGATCTATTGCTGAGTTCAGAGGCCACAGACTGTGGACTACAATTGTTCGCACAAGAGGTGTAAGTGCTGTTCGCCAACGCATCCAAGTCATTCAAAATCGGGAACCGCTCACCGCTGCTGTTCATCTGCTCTTCAATTTGACGGCTCGTCACCGTATAAGTGGTCCGACTGTCCGTCGATTCCGCGTCCGAACGATCGCTAACCAAATGGACACCAATTAGTGATCAATTCATCTCTTATTACAGATTCTCTCGATATATGACATACACCTCATCGGCGGACACAATGGCCGGTATTACGGGGTAATGGTCTGCGTTCGCGGGCCGGACCTCGAGGTGGTCTCGATTCATGAGAATATGGCCGACAGGTGTGCGGCCGTCGCGTAACAGCCCGTTGTCGAGCCATAGATCCACTTCGTTGTGACCATCGATGGCAAGAGTGGACATCAGGTGTCGTTTGAGGTCATCGATGGTGAGAACAGCGGCCGGAACTGTCAGCCAATAGTCGGCCACTCGTGGCTGCGATGTCTTGACGGACACCAATAGACTAATGGGTTTTCGTTTGGGTGATGGCATGTCTTCGGCCACAACTGATCCGCAAATCAAAACCAAACAAAATCTCAATTATGACTGAATTTCAAACCACAAAAACACACGCCTTTGAGAACTGCATAAATGGTTCACAAATAACGTTACGTTTTCATCATTTTGTAATTTAATAGTTTTATTTGTAATTTAATTAAATCATAAAGTGTTAAGAAATTATGTTAATATTTAACCGATGATCAGTTTATATCAATTAATGCTGTTTTGATTAACAATAAGTGCTTTTTGGTTATATTTTGAGGTCAATAACGGGTATAACTTGTACGCTATCGGGTGTCCATCGGTTACCGAAACGAGTTATAAGAGTTGACACAATGTATACCAATCACAGGATATGTTTGAAAATTAATAGTTTTAATGTTAATTATTATTAATTATTATTAAAAATATTTATAAATGATGTGAGAGTGCGGACACACCCGACCGGTGTGAGAGGTCGGTAGGGTTTACACCATTGCCAACAAATGTATTCACAACTAATCAGTGATTAACAAACAATTAAATTACTATCCAAACCAATAAATACATATTTCACGCAACCAAACAATGGCAAACATTTCATTCAAATTCATTTACTTTTATTGTAATTTATATCAATTTTTAGTGATATTTTTTGCATCAAAATTCTTTACCAATCAATTGTCGATTCTTTGGCCGCAAAACAATGGGATCAACAAATAGCAAAAAGTACAAAGAGATTGACTTTTCGATGGCAATGACTGAGTACAGGAGTCACACACATGCGGCACATATACTCTTCTGGAGCCGCGACCCGAGGACTGGCCTCACCTTTGCGTTGATGCAAATGCGAGCCGACGGCAGGTTTGGTTTCCCGGGCGGCAAATCCGATGAACCGGTGGTCGACAGACAGGAAGTGATAACCGCTTTGTATCGAGAGATTTACGAAGAAATGGATTACGCGGTACCCGAAGGACAGATCACTCTCGACGACCGACTCTTCACTCACATCGCCTCAAACAAAGGCAAAGTTTTGCACTTCTTTGGCAAAGAGCTGCCGATCGACGTGTTTGAAGGCTTGGAATTGAAATACACAAAAGCCAAGTCCTTTCCCTGCGAAACAGTGGGCCTGATTCGTGTGCCGCTCAGCCACTCGTCCCCCAAAGGCCAGACCCCGGTCTGCCTTCCGGTCCGCAATTTCTTCGCCAATTTTGGACGACAAGTATTTGCCGGAAACGCCAGAAATCAATTCATTGAAAGCATTAGCCGTTTGAAACTCATGAGCAAAGAGGACATGCAATCGATTTTAAGAAACCATTTGAATGATGATTTTGATGGACAGTAGTTTTATTAGTGGTTTTGTTTGTCATTTACACATTTGTTTTGAAAAATAAATATGTTTGTCTTAATTATGGTTTTAACTAATATTTACAATTATTACAAACTTATGTAAAAATAGCTTAAATCGTATGCTTTTTTATTGTACAGTATATAAATTATGTTAAGATAACTGTAAATCTTTAAACATAAATAAATAGTAATTTTTAAGTGTTATCATGAATTCAACGTTCAAAATGTTGCTGACTTTATAAATAGCAAAATACTGATAAGAGATATATAAAATTATTTTTGCGAAGTTTTATAACTAATTTATTTGTTAGTTTAATGAACGACAAAAAGTAAATCACAAAATATTTCGTGAATTAATTGACAAATTATAATTTATTTTAGCGAAAAATGTGCTCATCTCTTGTTAAATGCTTGTTATATACATCATTGTATCTGTCAATTACAGTAAATGATATTCAATGTACGTATAAATAAATAAATTAATAAAATATTGTGAAATTACAGTACATTTATAAAAAAATCGTATATACTTTCAAGGCTTTGACAACATATCGATAAAGATTACTAAAAGGATAGACGACTCAAATGTTCATAGCGTTAGGCTATTAATGATGAAAAAGCCCGAAACCAATGTCACAATTCTGGATGCATTAAACGCCACGTCTCGCAAACACCCGGAATATTCTTTCACTGGAAAACACTTTAATAGTTTAGGCTTTTATATACAGTCCATCGGACAGTTATATGAGAACCGGAATCTAAGCAAATACTGGTTTGTTTATGAATCAGATGAAAAGGGCGAACACAGACCCACAAATGGTTAGATACATTTATTAAATTATTTTTAACATTTATTAATATTTATATTTAAATATACAGGGGTTTCGTCACTCATTACAAATAATACAAATTATGTGTTTCATTATAAGGCTTATGATATAAATGTTAAACAGGAGGAAACTAATTGGTATTTATTAACACGAAGTTATGCAAAAAATGTATTGAATTGGATCAAGAAAAATACCATGTTTTGGCGCAATTGAATATGTGTTGCTTTAGTACTGATATTATTTAAAATAATTTTCAAATATAAAATACAAACAGTTTATTATTAATTGTTAATACAATATTATTATTCAGTAGATTATATTATTTGAAATAATTTATTTCGTAAATAAGCACTTCATTGAATGAAGTTATTGAAAATATATTTGTTCATTTATAAATATAACTTATATTAATTATCTTGTACATTTATACAAAAATTAATACAAAATTATTACATCAAATGTCTAAAAAATAAATATTAACTTAATGACAAAATGATTTTTATTTAAGTAAATGAGATCTCTTATGAAAACAAAAATAATTAGTAAATTCTTCAACAATAGTCTGTAGGAAACAATAAGTGTTAAAAAAGCAAAACAATAGACCGTTTTTGATGATTAACTCAGAGATTAATACAATTATTGTTAATATGAAAGCAAATAAACAGAAATACAGCAACGATTGCATACTTTCAATACTAACCCTTCGCTGCCATTCGTCGGTAATTTTGGTTTCCGACGAAAAAATACATTCTTTCACTGAAAATGATTTAATATTTGCCGTCTCTTTGCTTATGTCTCGCAGCCATTACTAAACTCTCAACACTTTTAACAAACAATTTAAAAGAAACAATATTACAGTAAAATGGTATAAGTTTTTTCATAAAATATTTAAAACTATTCTTACATTTTATTTAATTGATTGACAATATATTTTGGGACAAATTTATTGATACCAAAAGAGTTAGAAATACGAAAATATGAGTTACTTGACAGATGCCATCGAATATGAGGCAATTTACTACACAAACTGACCATGCTGTGAATATGTACATAATCCAACTCAAACATTGCTATTTTTCCCGCGTCTATACATTTTAGAAATCTATTTAAATTATGTGGCAATTGATCTTGGTCTCTACTTTTCATAGATATATCTCGATTACTATCAATTCGCTGCCAAATCTCATTATAAATTGGATTATTGCTCTCCTATTAATAAAAATATTATTACACTATAATTTAAAATTACAATTTAAAATTTTAATGCCTTAAAAATATTGATTATCTTTGAAGTTTCGTATAAAACAGGTATTATTTGCCGGTCATTATAAATGTCTTCAATAGAGTCTATGTTATTGTGATTGAGTTTAATCACAGAATCGACATTAATAAGTGATTTGAGCCAAAAATACAATATTGTAACCATTAAACTAATTAAAGCCATTTTTAATTCAATTCTGTCATTTGTTTTGTGCATTATAGCTATTCAATACAATTTAGACAAATAAAATATATTATTACAGTGTTCACAAATCAATAAATTATTTAATTTTAAAATAACTACAAGTAGTTATAAGTAAAAAAAAACATTCATTAACAAATACTGCATAATGTTGCAGCAAAAACATTATACTGTATTTAATATACTGTACAATACATACGTTGGAGTAAGAATATTCTGACCACATTCCACAGGTTAACAGAATTGTATATTTTATTTAATGAATTATTAATGAGATTAATAGCCAAAAGAGCCAATAATGTACACAATATACACACAAAAATGCTTGAATCGATGTAATTAAAAAAGTTAAACAAATCATTTCTCGTTATTTGAAATCCGGATTTTGTGATTATTATCTGCGATGAAGAGTACAATGTCTTTAGAAAATTAATTTTCTCATTTCTATCCGATGTTTCAAACAATGTATTCAAAGACATATCCGTTTCCTATGTTTTTGTTAATTTTGATTGAAAATATATTTTAATTAATAAATTAACTTGATACATTGTTTTATTTGTTCAGACAAATGCTTACATTAATAAATATACTATTTATTAATCCGGGCCAACCGGCATATTTTGGCACAATTATCTCGTAACTATTACACGCAAAATAAAATGTTTATTTTATTATCAACTTATAACCTAATGTTAAAAGTTAACCTAATTTATTGATGAAATAATTTAAGCTATTCAATAATGTACAGTACGTTACCTGCAATTTAGTCTACGCTGAATAACAGCCAAGAATTCCGTTGATGTACCACTAATACTAACTTGATTATTATATCGATGGATTTGAATCCACGGCCAGTACTAAACATTATATTAACACATTTACACAAATATAAACAAATATGTTGTCCAAACCAAATAATAATAACTTACAGGAAAAGCTGCTATCTTTAAATGCATCTCCAATAAGTAACTAATAATTAACTAATAAAAATAATTTTAATTTTAATTATTAAACAATTATTGTTTTATTAAATTTATTCAACAGGACAATTTTTATTAAATAAAATAATAATAGATGTAATTGTACAACATCTATTGTACCAATATATTACAATGTAAAATGTATTTGTTGTCAGTTAATATAATATTCTGTATATTAGTATTATGATAAGTTATTCACAAATAACATTTATTTATTTAATCATTTATTTACAATTACTGTACTTGACATTATAAAATTAAATCAAACAACATATTAAGTTGAGCAAAATATATAGTGCACCTAGGGCACATTTATATTATTACACAATTAATTCATTATAAATACAATAACTTTTGTACACATAATATATTCTATAAATAAGTGTATTTGTATTTATAATGTGAAAGGTTTGATTGCATAACATTTATGAATAACATAACTAAAAATGACATAATT